GCCTGAAAGATTTAGTATTTCCAAAATAGCAATATTATCCAAATTGATCTACAGATTCAACACAATCCCACTTCAACTTCCTTCTTTTGAAGAAATGGACAAGTTGAGATTCATATGGAAATGCAAGGGACCATGAATAGCCAAAACAAACTTGAAAAGGAAAAAAAAGAACAAAGTTGGAGGATTCACACTTCTCAATTTCAAAATTTATCACAAAGCTACAGTAATGGTATAGTGCTGGCATAACAACAGAGATATAGATCAAGTGTGCCAAGATCATTCAATAGGAAAAGAATAGTCTTTTCAACAAGTGATGCTGGGACAAATGGGTAGCCACATACAAAAGAATACAGTTGCACCCCTACCTCACACCTCTACATAAAAACTAACTTTCAGAGAATCAAAGACAAAAGTATAATACCCCCCAAAAAACTCTACAAAGGACACCACAAAGTGAAAACAGCCCATGGAATAGGATAACTTAATAATAAAAAGAGAAATAAATCAATTAAAAAATGGGCAAAGGATCTGAACAGACATTTCTCCAAAGATATACACATAGCCAATAAGCACATGAAAAGATACTCAACATCATTAGGAAATGCAAATCATAATGACAATGAGGTACAACATCACATCCACTAGGATGGACAGATCAAAATAATACATAACAAATTTTTTACGTGAGGATGTGGAGAAATTAGGGTCCTTGTACAATGCTGTAGGATATTATGTACAACTAGAGGCCCGGTACATAACATTCGTGCACTGAGGGTGGGGGTTGGGGGGAGGGTTGTCCCTCAGCCTGCCTGCGCCCTCTCACAGTCCAGGTCTCTCGCTCCTTATGGCCTACCTGCAGCAGAGGCCCCTGCCACCGCCAGCTGTGAGCCATGAGCCAGGCTTCTGGCTGAGCAGCACTTCCCCTATGGAAACGCACTGACCACCAAGGGGCAGCTCCTGCATTGAGTGTCTGCCCCCTGGTGGTCAGTGCACGTCATAGCGAACGGCCATTCTATCATTTGTTCAATTTGCATATTAGGGTCTTTATTTTATAGGATGATCTAGCACTTTGAAAACAATGTGGCAGTTCCTTAAAAGTTTAAACATAGCGTTACCATAACACCAAGGAATTCTACTTGTCAGTCAGTATATACCCAAGAGAAATGAAAATAGCCTATAAAAAAGCTTGTACATGAACGTTCATAACTACATTGTTCTTAACATGCAAAAAATAGAAACAATCCAAATGCTCATCAATTAATGAACTGATAAATGAGGCATATTCATACATGAATTACTTTATAGCAAAAACTAATTACTGATAGTGCTTTCTAATAAAATTGATCAGTGATGCTTTCAAGGAAATATCTTGATCAAAAGAAGGAAAATTAAAAAAAAATAGTATAAACCATGTAGCTTTACATTTGAGTTGGAGCTGCCATCCCATAGGAACTGCCCTTTTGGGGGACACTCTACATTGTGACTACTGAACTGATGACTTCCGACTGAAAATTAAAAACATTGTTTAGACTTAGTGTCACTATGTCAGCTTATCTCCACCAACAGAAATGCCTTCCTTCTACTGATATAATTTTCCCCTTCCCTTTCTCATAAATGCCTTTTGCCTTTGTCTCCTAATCAAAACACTTTTTAGGTTTCTGCCTGAATCAGTGCTTTCAGGAATAGCTTAAAAAAAAATCTCATATAGGTACAACCTTAGTTTATTTGTTCTGTTTATTTTAATTTCTAAACTTGAATTTTGTAATCTAGAAGTATATGCCAAGTTGTGAAGGTTTTTTTTGTTTTGGTTTGTTTCTGTTTTCAGATTTATTTTTATGGGACTAGTATATTTTGTGAGAAGAGGATAATAAATATGTATTAGTTTAATTAAAAAAAAAAAGAAAAAAATCTCAAATAAGTGCTTATTACCTCTTAAAAAACAACAACAACAAAAAACCCCCGAAGTACTGGTGTTATGACATGCAAAGAAGGTAATCCCAAAGGACCATATGTTGTAGGATTGCACTGATCTGACATGTTCGGTGCAGGTAAATCCACACAGACAAAAATATACTGGTGGTTGCCTAGGGTCGAGGATGTTTGGGGAAATGAAGAATGAATGCTAATGGCTATTTTGGGGGGTTTTTTTGAGGGAAGCGGTAAGTATGTTCTAATATTAACTGTGGTGATGGCTGCACAACTCTAAATATAAAAAAACTACTGAGTTGTATATTTTAAATCGGGAAATTGTATGGTATGTGAATTGTATCCAAATAAAGCTGTTTATATATTTAAAAAAAAAAAACAGTGAATAACTTTATACAAATAATTAAGTTGCTTATATGTATGAAAATTTACATCATAACTTCCTAAAAAAGCTAAGGTTGTTTTTAGTTTAAGTACCCATTTTGGTGATATATACTTGGCAAAACCAAAATGCTAGCACGTACAATCTGACACAGAAGGTACTCAATAAATGTTTATAGCCAACAATTATAAAACTAAACCTAATGGTATCTTTTCTTTATTTTATTTTGTATTGGTTTTGGGTGTTCAGCTTAGTTATTAGACAATCTTAAGCTTTAAGTGTTCCCCTCGATAAAAAGGGGCATCAGGCCCTGACTGGTTTGGCTCAGTGGATAGAGCATCAGCCTGTGGACTGAAAGGTCCCAGGTTCGATTCCGGCCAAGGGCATGTACCTGGGTTGCGGGCACATCCCCAGTGGGGGGTGTGCAAGAGGCAGCTGATTGATGTTTCTCTCCCATTGATGTTTCTAACTCTCTATCCCTCTCCCTTCCTCTCTGTAAAAAAATCAATAAAATATATTTAAAAAAAAAAAAAAGGGGGGGGGCATCAGGTTTGGCATACTCTTCATCTTTGTTCCTGTATTAAAAATTCAATTTTGAATTTACCTTATAAGATTGAAATCAAGTCTGGCCATGTCAGCATTATCTTCTGGGATATTACGAGCCAAGATTCCTAATTTAACAAAGTTAAAATATTAGTTCAAAAAACAAGCCAGAATAAGGCATTTCTTTCTAATATAGTCCCTCAATCAAGTTGAAATTTCTAATATAGCCTAGTTAAGAATACCAAACACATAGTTAAGATTAGTGGGTATATTTAAAAATCTCTTTTTGCCCAGCCAGTGTTGCTGAACACTGACCTATAAACCAGGAGGTCATGGTTTGATTCCGTCAGGGCACATGCCAGGGTTTTGAACTTGATTTCCCAGTAAGGGGCAGGAGGCAGCTTATCAATGATTCTCTCTCATTATTTGTTTCTCTTTCTTCCTCACCTCTTCCTCTCTCTTCCTCTCTGAAATCAATAAAAATATATTTTAAAAAAGTATTTTTTATCAGTTCCTGATTCCTCTTTTTAAAAAAATTTTTATTGAATTTATTGGGGTGACATTGGTTAATAAAATTATATAGGTTTCAGGTGTACAGTTCTACAATACATCAATTACTTATTGTATTGTGTTTCATCACCCCAAGTCAAGTCTCCTTCCATCAGCATTTATGCTCACTTCTTTCCTCTTTTCTTAACAAAATGTAAAAGGAATTTTCCCATAACTGTTGCCAGTTTCATCTATGTGCTCCAATAAGTAAATGGCTTGTCTTAATTCTTAGCCTTACAGCCTTTTATTCTGCCATATTTTACTGTAACTGGTAAGTTAGCAATATACTTGTTTTTCACTATTTTTGAATGATATGCAATTTGTTGTCTCAGATGAATGAACAAAGTAAAGTACTTTGAAGAATTCTTTTGAAAGTCAGTTATATGGTCATGCTGTATGCTAAGTTTGAATAATGATAAAATCTTTTCACTCATAAGATCAAAATATTTTCATTAACTCCAGCAGGAACTATCACTAAGTTAATTCTCAGGTTAGCACTAACAGCAAGCAAAAGAAAACAATCTGAATTCATCACATAAAAAGCAAACTAGATTTTAAACAAGTTCTAATGTATTATGAACTTTAGCAGCAAATGTTGACACAATCACTATAACCTACAGATTTTTTCCCTTTTCTTTGTTTATTCTATAAAGTAATCAACTAAACTATCCTGAAAACCACTAATTATTTTAAATTGAAAATACCCACTACATACCGGCATGGACTGCAGGGTGCAAGGTTTTCACACGGCCCCCTAACATTTCGGGAAACCCCGTCAGCTCAGAGACATCTCTGAAAATAGATAAACAGAACATTTCTCCTCTTTCTACTTAACTGTCACTCACATTTCACACTATTCCACAGCTTCTTCTAACATTAAGCCTACTGTTTTCATTTTGAGAAATTTTTCAGCACCTGAATTTTCAAAATTCTGAGTAGATTAAGGAGAGCCATTTGCAAATGACTGAATTTTCCCAAGGACATCCAGTTCCAATATAAAGAGGGTTGGTGACATTATGATTTCCAATTTAAAATTCACTCTTCCAGAGTCCTGGCCCAGTAGCTCAGTTGGTGAGAGCATCCTCCAAATATGCCAACCTTGTGGGTTCAATCCCTGGTCAGGGCACATACAAGAAGCAACCAATGAATAAGTGGAACAACAAATCGATGTTTCTCTCCCTCTCTCTCCCCCCCCTCTCTCTTTCAAATCAATAGATTAAAAAATTAACTAGAAAAACATTTTTTTAAAAAATTCCCTTTATTTCCTGGTCTGTTGGTTGTCATCCAGTGAACCAAAAGGCTGACCATTCTATTCCTGGTCAAGACACATGCCTGGGTTGCAGGCTTGATCCCCTGTAGGCAGGGGGCAGCTGATTGATTTTTCACTTTCCCTCTAAAAATCAATAAAAATGCTTTCAAAAAATTCTCTTTCCCAGACTTTAAAAAATAAAATTCAGCTTCTCCAACTGAGGATAACTGTTAAAAAAAGAAAAGGCAGATCTATACTGAGTTGGTGTAGGGATTACGTGAGTTAATATATATTTAAAAGTGTTAACGGTGAGCCTCACTTTAATAGGAAACATATTGACATTCCCAAATTTAAAAAAAAATATATCACCACAATGGGGTTACACCAGGAATAGGTAGAGGTACAGATAGACAAAAAACAAGACTAAAGAGTTGATAAATATTTAAACTGGAGGATAAGTATGCAACACGAGGGCTCATACTTTTCTCTCTTTTTATGTCTGAAATGTCTCCATAATACGAAGTTTGATGGAGAGGGAAAGGGGATACAGAGAGGACCTTTCTTAACCTGAAGGGTCCAACTACAAACAACCCAACATGGGGACAACGGAAAGAACAGTTCAGACTTTGGATTCTCACCGCTCCACCTCCCATGATTCTTAGGGGTTGTGGTGCAAACATCAGAGTGGTGCTGCAAAAAGACTTTGGAACATATACTGTAAGGCATGTTTGCCATATGAACTTAGTGGACTTAGGGAAGCGGTGTACTGTCCACTTAGGGCAGGATTACAAGATGGAAAAGGTAATCCTTGACCTCTCCATGGATCTAGAGGTCAAGTAGCAACATCTCCAACATGACAACAAAAGCAGACAGGTCTTTCACTCCTTTGCTAAAATATATTTCAGGATGGGGATGGCCTTCCTCCGAATTCTCACATCAGTTTATTAAAGCCTTTTTCATTTTCTACATTTTCAGCGGTTACTCTTTCTCCCGCTAGAATGCCAGCTCCTTGATGTCAAGAACTGCACCCTGATTTTTCTTTTGCTTATTATTCCTTCTCCCCGTCACTTCGGTGGGTTAATGAATAGATGTGGATGAAGGAATGAATGAATGATAGATTTTATGACTTCATATGGGGACCAAAGATGCTAGCAGCGGTTCTCAACCTGTGGGTCGCGACCCCTTTGGCGGTCGAACGACCCTTTCACAGGGGTCGCCTATTCATCCTGCATATCAGATATTTACGATTCATAACAGTAGCAACACTACAGTTATGAAGTAGCAACGAAAATACTTTTATGATTGGGTCACAACATGAGGAACTGTATTTAAAGGGCCAGAAGGCCCTAGCCGGCTTGGCTCAGTGGATAGAGCATCAGCCTTCGGACTCAAGGGTCCCAGGTTCCATTCCGGTCAAGGGCACATGCCTGGGTTACAGGCTCAATCCCCAGAGCGGGTTGTGCAGGAGGCAGCCGATCAGTGATTCTCTCTCATCATTGATGTTTCTATTTCTCTCTCCTCCCTTCCTCTCTGAAATCAATAAAGAAATATATTTAAAAAGTAATAATAAAGGGCCAGAAGGTTGAGAACCACTGTCAGGGAAGGGAGGCAGGCTTGAATCTTGATGTCAACAGTTTCCTAAAGAGCCAGTCAAAACAGACTATGCAAATTATAAACTCTGTGGTGCAAAACAGCCCGCCCCAGTTAATTTCTTACAAGAAGTGGTTTGGAAGGGGGGCCCTGAAATGAGGACATCCGGGGCTCTAAGCCCTAGCTCCGCTCCTTCCGTAACTGTAACCTGGAGCAGCACCTTCCTCTTCTATGAAGGGGCCAGCAGCGCCCCAGCCTCACAGCACTGGAGGCGCGGGAAAATAGCGGGCTGTACCCACAGTGCCAGGCCCGCGTTACTTTCTGATGGGACTTAACCTGCACACTAAGTTGTGCCTTACCTGACTGCCAGACCCGCATCCCTGAGAGCTTTTGCGGTCCCTCCAGAAGCGACCAGACTCAAACCCACAGAAGTGAGGTTCCTGGCAAATTCCACGAGGCCGGTTTTGTCAGAGACACTGAACAAGGCTGAAAGAGAAGACGTGTTTTCCTCCCCAGTCGCTGTCCAGGACAGCATGTTCTTCAGGGCCGTGGGATGGGGTGCGTTTGGGGTAGGGCAGTCACGGATCTCAAGCCACCATCACCTCCGCCCACACCACCCCCGGCCCAGACTCGGGGCCTCATTCTGATCTCAGGCAGCCGCACAACGGCGGG